TGCTACAGGGTCGTGATTTCATCATTATGACAGATCACAAACCTCTTTGCCATTCTTTAAGCACATCGTATGACAAACACTCCCCACGAGAAGCAAGACAACTTGATTATATCTCCCAATTTACCACAGACATCAGGTTTATCAAAGGTCACATGAACATTGTTGCGGATGCACTATCTAGGAGGGATATCAATACGATGGTACTCAATCACAACATCAGCCTTGAAACCTTAGCTAAATTACAAGCAGACGATGCAGAATTGAAAGCCTGCAAAGAAAAGTCTAGCTTAGATCTCAAACCTGTACCGATTCCTCTTTCAGATACATTTATCATATGCGACACTTCAACAGGCAACAATCGTCCGTTTGTCCCACACGCGTGCCGACGAAAAATATTTCAACATTTACATGGTCTTTCACATCCAGGCATCAGAGCAACAACAAAGCTCATTACCGAACGTTTTGTGTGGCCTAAAATCAACTCGGATGTTAAACGTTGGACACGTAACTGTCTCCAGTGCCAACGCAGTAAGACGCAAAAACACGCCTACAGTCCAATTGCGAAGTTCCCTATCCCTGACAAACGCTTCCAGCACGTGTATTTAGATTTAGTTGGGCCTTTGCCACCATCAAACTCTTTCACACATATTCTCACAGCAATAGATAGGTTCACAAGATGGGCCATAGCATGCCCCATTAAAGACACATCGGCAGAGACAGTGGCTTCAGTTTTCCTCGACCGCTGGATATCCAACTTTGGTGTACCATCAACAATCACAACAGATCGCGGTCCCCAATTCCAATCCGTCCTATTTAACGAGTTCACTAAACTTCTTGGAGTAAATCATGTCAAAACGACAGCTTTTCATGCGGCAGCTAATGGCATGGTCGAAAGATTTCATCGCCAATTAAAAAGCTCTCTGATGGCACAATCGGACTCTTCAAAATGGAGCGATGCCTTACCGCTCGTTCTCCTTGAGATTCGCTCGTCAGTGAAGGAAGACATCGGATGCACGGCCGCTGAACTAGTCTATGGCACGACATTAACGTTACCAGGACAACTGGTCAAGAATGAACCCACAACGCCAGGAGACCCTACTCGTTTTGTAAGCAGATTACTACAAATGATGCAGAACATCAAAGCAATACCACCTAAAGAACACAACAACCGAGTCCATCTCGATAAACATTTAGAAACGTGCAAATTTGTTTTTGTTCGAGTAGACGCGGTGAAAAAGCCACTGACACCACCGTATGAAGGCCCTTATAAAGTAATAAAACGCACTCACAAATATTTCATTATCAATAAAAATGGGAACAAGGAGACAATTTCCATTGACCGAATAAAACCAGCTTTCTACGAAGTCCCTCAAGCCACAGAAGACAATGCTACAAACAAACAATCACTCCCATCAATTGCTAAGAAACAAGAGGAAGAGGAAAAACTTAGCACTACACCCTCTTGTTTAACACGATCTGGGAGACTTATAAAAAAACCAAAGCGTTACGTACATTTTGCCATATAAAAAAAACACACAAATAAAACAATCAAAGCAAACAATTATCAAGGACCTACACTATTAATCTCATCTAAAAAAATTTTCTTTTCACAGTGTTTATAATTAATCACATTTTCCCACAATTATTCGTTTTGTCATTTTTTTTTTCAAAAAAAAATTGTTACAATAATAAACGGGTAAACTCTAATTATTTATTCATTATACACAAAAATAAACAGTTCAATTTTTTTGTGTATGTGTGGGTCATTAACAGTTATACACATTATTATCATTGTTAACGAAACAAGACATTAAATGACAGTATTTCTGTTTTTTTGTATTTGTTATGCTATGCTACATTATTGCTATTCTCAAACGATAACACACTACATCTTATTAATGTATATGTCATATCCATCTCTACAACTTTTGTTGGTTATAACTGTAAATATTACTTTTGTATATACACATATATCACATTCTTACATTTTTTTTATTATAACCAGTGTTACCTCCGGACACTCTGGGGGGGAGCTATGTGGAGATAGATCTGACAAGCTTATTTTGTAAATAGTTTTGAATATTATTTGTATTTGTCAATTTCTCACTGAATGTACATTTATCATTAAATGATTGTACCTGTTGTTCAAGTAAATGACCTTGAAGACTTTTTCCGTTGTGTTACTAACATAGCGTGACATACTTTCGGTGGTTCGCAAATACACTACTACGCACATACCCATTGTTCTATTCTCGCTCGTTACCAAGTCAATTGCGTTCTAAACTGGATATTATCCTCATTTTAGACTGCTGTGTCATTTCCATTATATCCTACGTCAAAGAAACTTATTGGCGTCATATTTACCTCTGTGGAATTATTACGCATTTATAATTGTGGATTTATGGGACCAAAACTCAACAGAATACGCAACCACTAGCCGATTTAAGTAACGTCCCTGAACTATTAATTTGTGTTGTTAATTTATAAATTATTATTCTTACATTAATTTTGGACGTAATAACTTTACCACTGATTTTTGGTTATTATACTTTTTGGTCCACCACAGCTAGGCCGACTGGTCTAGAAGGGGGTGTATCTCGGTTAGGAGCAACTCCCAATTTGAAAGAGCAGTATCGCACACGGATTTTCCTCTTCGATGTGAAGTCTATTCAAGAGTTGTCTGGAGTGGCCTGACTGTGATGTTCTGGCAGTATGTTTATGCTGATGTGACTCAAAGTCCTTAGTATATTGTGCTCCATTATCACATCACCTCATATCCTCCTATGGCCCAGAGAGAATGGTCTTAAGCGTCGGAATTCATCTTCGTAATATTATTTTCCCAGCCCTATCACCATCCAGTTGACTATCTCTGTACTTAATCTATGAGGTTTATGTCTCTTTCGTAAACTAATGTGAAAAAGTTGAAGATTTCCACGTCAGGTTGTGCGTATGTTTTAGAGTGCTAGATATACTGCCATGAGGATTAAGTCAAGCTACCTTCGTATAAAGTGAGGAGTTGCATCTGCTTTGGCTCTCTTAGCGTCTGTGACTGGTAGTCTCATATTGCTCCTTGTGAAAACGACTGAAAGAGAAAGTTACAATGCAGATTTTTAGTTTTGTGGCCTTAAGGGCTTACTGCATACTACATAACATTATGACAGGTCAAACTTCAGGCTAATGCTCGCCATTCACTTCTGTACGTTTGTAACAACTGAGGTTGGTTGGTCAAGAGTTGACTCCAGACGTCTTAGCAATTTCAAAACATTATAGCCCAAGTATTCGTTCACTTCCTTATTTCGTACTGGCATTATACTTCCTAATTATTTTGAATGTTGAGAAACGTTGTGCGTTTGACAAGAGTAACCTTGTACCCCATTTGTTCTGTTCCACGATCTGAATAAGGACCTGTTAACCATCAGTCTGATTTTTTCTACCGACAGGACGGAGTGTACCCGCAGGTAACCTAGAAACGTACGTTGGCCGTTCTCGTTCGTTATAGACCTCCATATCATGATTTCCTCAGCGTACGTGAGGGTCGGTAAGCTAATTTTATCTGGGAGTTTGTATAAAACAAATCAGGAAGAGAAATGGAACTGGACTGGTCCACCGCGAAAGTTCGCGACTTCACAATTTGTGTGAACGCTGATTACTGTAATACGTAACAACCAGTCCACTACGTGGTTTGGAGGCTAGGATAAAAGTAGGTTTGTAAAATGTTAGGTCAGAATGATGCGAAATCTCAGTGTACTCGATACGTTCTTGATAACAATTTTTGAATAGGGAAAATTTCCTAGTTAAAAGAAAAGAGAAATACATGAACCTGTTAGATTTAATAATTAATATTTAGTAAAAACCGTCGAAAAAAAGGTGTTCCATCAGTGATAAGATAAAAAGGCTTTTCATTTTAAAATTAATGAAAAGGAAGTGTTGAAAATTTATGCATTATGTTGAGTAGTTGATTACTACAGCCAGGTACTGAAATCCAACAAAAATCTTACTAAAAGTTCCAGATTATTATTTTTCTTAAAACTTTTAGATTTACTGTAAATTTAGTTGAAGTAAATTAAACATAACAATAAAAGTTGAAGAGGTCTTACAGGTTGATGCTTTTTTTAAGATAAAAAAATACTTTATAAAGAAGGTCAGTAAAACTACTGGTTACAGTTTATGCGAATTTTGTTAAACTGCTATACTTGCTGTTATTTTCATCGTGCTAATGAAAAGGTAACATCAGTATAGGGTTGTGGAGATTGCTGAGTTTTGGGTGAGATCATGGAGCGATCAATGTTGGACCAACATTGAGAATCTGGAAGCACTGGAAGGGCGTTCAATTGTAGTTTTTGACTCCTTAGATGTGCGCATTCACACGGGACTTGGACACAAGACCTTTAGTGTTGCACGAACGCCTACTATCTAGACCACTGTGCCTGGATCCAGCAACGTTGAAGTCTAAATTCAAGCAATCTTTGATATAGCAGGACCAACTTTCACTTTTATTGCAATTAATTGCGAAGAAATGATATTTCTTTAATAATCAGTGTGTGAACTGAATTGTTGTTGAGTCTTTAAGGAATTTAACTCATATGAATCGCACTTTGAGCAATTACTTGTTTCCTACCCGAATATAAAGACTATGCAAAAATAAATGACTGCAATTATCAATGGGTATAAGATAAACATCAGTGGATTAAAAGAAAAATACATTTGACTTGGTTTTAATCTTCTATCAATTCAGTAGTTGCCTTATGGCTATTTTGCATTTTGCAAAATGTTGTTGTTAATATTCGTTCTTGTGGCTTGAAGAAAACAGTAAGTGAGTAAAATGTTTACTTTCGGATCTTATTAAACACAGTATCTGTGATTGCCTGAAATTTCAGGCTGAAATGTCCATTTAGTCACATGTACTATTTGATGATTAGTAAATAAATAGTTTTAAGAATCTAAAGTTTCATTAAAAAAATTGTTTCATATTCAACCTTAAGATTATGTAATATAAATTAATGCCTTCAATACTTTTCATTCATTCACATACATTTGAATTCAGATCCAATATTGTACATGATGATTTTTCTTTGCGAACAATCTTTTGTGATCCTACTTTAATATTTTCTCATTGTTGTTTTAATCTAAATTGTAGACCTGCTCATGCACTGAGAGTTCAATGGTTTAAAAGTACACTGAATGGTAAACATGAGCTTATCAATCCATCAAATGTTATTTCATCACCAACAAAACTGTCAACCAATCATAATTCAAACATTAATAATCAAATTATTTATAAATTTGATACGTCAGGTCTCAATAGAACACTAATTATTAGCAATATATTACCGAGTGTAATACCTTCTGATTATTTTCAACAAATCAATCAAAAAGGTATTTATTCTGAAGAATATACATGTCATGCTTATTTAAATGACTACATTAATAATAATGTATTTGATATGAATAAATTTATATTAGATGATTCTCAATTTACTACATCAATATTATCCTCCTCTCCATCATCATCTTCTTCTACAAATTCTGCAATTAATTTATATCAACGTATTAGTCCCAAATCAACTACAGCTAGATTAAAATTATATCTACCGCCAAAAATTAAATTCCACCAAATTTGATTGTGAATAGTTTAACAAGTCAATAGGAAAATTACACCGAAACATAATAAATTAGTGATAATTGAAACAAGTGCCAGTATGACTATTCAGTTACCATGTGAAGTAGACTATTTTGGCATACCAAAAGCTGAAATTAAATGGTTAAGAAATGGTGATTCAATTGATACACATAAACAAGAACAGTAAGTTACATGTTTTTATTTTCTTTTTATAATGATAATAATGTTTGTTTCGTGTTCTGCTGTAGAAATAAATGATACGGTCTTCGTAAATATTTATAACGTTATGTTTAAATTGAAAATTGTTCATTTTATCCATCATTGGGCAGGTCATACAAGATATATCGATTTATTGTTCATTGTCTTTTTGATTGATTGTTTGAATTAATCAAGTTCATTTATCAAAATAAACAAATATTTGTTTATTATCGATATTTCAAGCGATAATCATTCCAAATATTTCATATTCAACAGCATGAGGAACATTTTTACTTATCATCAGGTTCATATCATGTTACGCATAAGTTGTTTTAGCAATGTTAGTTGAAATTCGGGGATGTGAACAGATACTTCTGGTAAAGTTGCACTTTCCGTTTAGCTCAAATATCACCTTACTATCAAAAGCTTTCTTGGATAACAGTCAAAATAGCACAGAGAAGACGGGTGTTTACGGTAGTGATAAAAACGTCGAAACTTGTTTTATTTTCTAGCTCCTAAAGAATAAGATTCTTAAAATAACCTTCGGTGCTCTAAATAGATGAAAAAAGTATGATATGAATTTTCTTGTAAACGCTTCATGTTTTTGTCATGGAGATCTGGTACCGTGTCTACGTGGGTTGTAGAGGACTACCATTTTCAGCAAATACAATTCATATATATACCTCGGTGAACCACTGGACTGTTATTAATATAATGCCTACATGTTCCTTGTTGTTGATCGGGCTCTAAGAATTCAGTTCCACTGTGGCCTCTAATCTAACTGAGCCGACAATGAGTGCTCTATGTTTGTATATTAAATTGTTATTTGAGAATATCAAAATGATTTAGACCTATATGGCACCTGTTTGCAAGATATCCGAAAACTCAATAAACGTAATTCTACCCTTTAGCGTCGAACCACCTTTGACCTTAATTCTAGGGCTCTCCACCAATTATCATTAATTAATTCATATTAACAACAACAATAACAGATTATTAGGACGTTGTATGTTAATGTTAGATATACGGCATTTTGCAAAACAATGCATAATACTTATGATTTATCAGACGTCTTTAGTTAAATAAAGATGTATTCATCAACTGGGTTTTTGTGAACTGAATATGTTTATATTTCATCTCTGATGGGCTCTGTATACTTATACGATAATATAAGCATATTTTATGTTAAATTCATTTTGACTGATTATATCTACTTTTTGAGTAACTAGGGGAGTGAAATTTCAACAATATTATGCATGAGCATAATCTCTACACTTTCAGCGTTAAGGATACACGTTTTGCATAAAACATAGTTGTAGAGGTGACATTTATTAAGATTTACTTATAATCTCTCAAATTGATTTTTCATAAAACGGCTACATTTCTAAAGACGGTTTTAGAAGATTCATTATTTACCATCTTTAAAAAAACTAATGTAGAAAATAAACACTTTCCTTTATTCATACGTTATATTTCCCCAAATATTGATTATAGTGTTGTTGTGTACTTTTCGTACTCCTGTTACATTCGTTCTTATTTCTTGCCCTATGCTCAGACGATTTTCACTTCAAATAATATAATATCAACTAATTTACTCCTTATCATCATGGTAATTTGAAATCTCACTGTAATGATTTGAGGTATCCTAAATCTACCAAGTTCATATTTTTTTATCAGATCCAACTGTGATTTCGATCAATAAAATACAAAAATTCACACTTTTATTTCAATTTTCACCAAACCATTTGAATTTTACGTTGATATGGGCAACTAATAAAACTTTCTAGCTCTCCATATTTATTGTTTACTGTCAAAACGTCAATTTTTACTTCATACATATATTGAAACATTTAATAAACTCTGTCTTCCACTAGTGAAACGATTGTATTTTGATTAGTGTAAGTATGAATTGCGTGGAATAATGAATGTCAATTTTACTATAAATCAATTCATAAAAAAAGCTAAGCGAATCATTAGAGTTTATAAATGAGAACATCAAAAATCCAATGAAATCTGTTTTATTGTTTATAGTTCCATAATGTATATGTTGTATTTAAGTAAGAAAAGTTCCCAGATGACTTTCTATTTTGAACTTGATAGAAAATATGAACGTATAAATGTTTGAGATGTGTTTTTGATATTAAATGTCTAAAGATAAGATCGTCTAGAGATAGATATTGCAAATTCCTTATTCCCATCAATTACACTAATAAACTGAAGAAAAAATTGTTTTGAATCGATCAAAGTTATACGCGTATATCATTGATAGTCGACTCAGCGGACTGAAGAGTAAGCGTTCTTCAAGACATTCAAATATCCCGTGTTTGATCTTGGATGTGGTCATCAGTGCACACTTCTGAAGAGTTTTATGCTAGGACTTAGTAGCTGTATAGTGTTTTTAGATTTTCAGCCGTTATCTAACTGAGTCTGTAAATTATGGGAAGAAAACTGTACAGTTAAATCACTTTGGTTTCAACTCATTCAGTAGTGTATGCACAAAATTTCACAAAATAACGAACAAGGTATGCGACTTTGCGTTAAAACTACCAGCTGTTCGTCTCACAGGGGATTTAGCAAAACGTAGTGGTTGTGCTTTTTTAGCGGTCGTCAATGCTATATTACCATAGTTGAAAATCAATCGGTTGGGTGTTAAACTGCTGATTATCTATCATTTTCATTAAGTTTAGGAATGAATCAGAGAAATATTAAGAAAACAAGAATAATTTGAAACGGTCATGTACACTAGTCTACACTTAATAGAGTCGGAAATGCAATTTACTGCAAAATTGTTGCACTAAAGTTTAAATTGACCACGGTTCAAGTAGATTCAGTAATTTTATTCATAAATTTAAGCATAAATGTATGACATTGAGGTGCCTTAAATTAGAGTGAAACAATTGTGAAATAGTTTATTTTCAAAGTTGAATTCACGAGTCAATCTAAGATAGACGACTATTGGAAATCTGGAAACATTGGACTAGTATGGGACTCAATGGTGGTCTAGCTTAGACTGTCTCATGAATTCAACTTTGGAAATATTACAATCTCCACAAATCTCCATTTTGATAATGATGATAATCATGTGCTCAATAGTAAGATGGATTTCCTGGAGTTCTAGTGAGAAGTCGTGACCAACGGAGTTCAATCTGTGTCAGATGTAAGACCGTCATCCACTTCAGACAATGGATGAAGGGTTGCGCAAGATCATGAATCGTTCGAAAATAGACACTAACACCTTTGTATGTCGGCTCAGTGGTCTAGATATTAAGCGTCCGCGAGCGAGACCAAAGGTCGTGGGCTCGACTCCGGCGTAAGAGATCGTGGATGCGCATTGCTGAGTAGTCCAATACTAGAACGAAACGGCCGTGTACTGCTTTCAGGTTCTCTGTAGTGGTTTAGTTTAGATTGACTCGTGAATACAAGTTTATTAATGCTACAATCTTCATGAATCCTGAAAATTGAAAATATTTTATTGTTTAAATCACTGCTCAGGTTTACTTCAGTCTAGCATGAAAATAATATTAAAACGATCTCAAATAACTGCAAGTTAAGCAATGAAATATTTATAGTGATTGATAAACACTTCCAAATATTAACAGATGACGCTATATAATACTGTATACATTGAATAAAGGTTATTTAATATTAACTACTTTGAATTCTCTTCAAGAAATATATTCATCATTTGATTTTGTTTATACAAAAGCTATCGGCCCCGGCTATATATTCAGTCTAAGACAAGGAAATCCAATTTTTACTTAAATCTTGCATTTATGCTATGAAATGACAGATTTGATTGATATCAAGAAAATTATTTGGGATTATTATCATGCAATCAGTTATTTGTTCACTATGTTTGTGTGTGGGGGGGGATAGGTGCGCTCGCATTATATATATATATATATATATATATATATACTTAGATTCACTTCTTAATCCACTCAGCTTTCATTCCTTTGTCTTGTTTAATTGACTCAAGTTATTCACTACAGCTGATTAATTATTTAACAGCCATAGGATTAGTTATCAAGATTGCAGTTTATTTTATTGAAAAAAGTTGTTACTGACTTAGGAATGAATGAATTATTATTTACTTCACTTCTGATCAATAGGGATTCGGTATTGATTAGAAAGTAAATCATTAGTCAACAAATGTAATGCCTAATTCGTGACTAGTTTATGTACCCAACATTGAAGTATGCAGTTTGGATGAAAACTAACAGTATTATCTAGTTGCTCTAAAAGAAGAATGTAGAATGGAATTTTAGACTGTGATTTATCGCTTAAAAACTGAGAGCTTCATACTCTAAGCTCAACCTTCCACTCGTGTTACATAGTGATGTCTGAAATGTTGATGATTTGTAGTACAGTTGGTTCATTTTGATGACGTTCCGTTCTGTAAGTTGTATGGTTTATTTGTACAATTTCTATTGTCCTTCTGAGAAGAAGCATTAGCACAATTATCTGAAGTTAGTCCTTATGATGTCATTTATGTCGATAGTCGATCAGAAGATTGAACATTAATCAAAAGCATTCTGTTAAAGCTGGAGAAACTGTAGTAGATAAAAGTAGATGAAGTAGATTTTTCATCTTTAATTAAAAAGATGACATTTAATTGATTAAATTATTGATCCATAACTTTATTATAAAACTCCCAATAAAGTAGAAATTATACAATTAGGTAATGTCATTAATTGACAAATTTTGCTTAGTTTTTTTGGAAAAGTTTCTATGATATCGATCTTTAAAGCATTTCTGAATGGACTCATAATCAGATTGTTTTGTTCACTATAAAGTAAACGG